GGGTAGTATTGGGTGGTATTGGGTAGTATTGGGTAATTAGACGCGCCCTCAAATTTTCAAAGAAGTCTGCTTCTTTTTGTGTTTCCTGAAAAGCAAAAGTCATACAGTAATAGCGAAATGAGGATCAGTGCTTCGTTGCCATCTGCACAAATTATTTCTTTGCAATAACTCCTGTAGGAATGCTCAATTTTTTTACGAAACTTTCTCCTTTTTTGTTTTTACCCAAATCTGAAAATCAACAATGAACATGGCCACCAGCAGGGCTTGAATTACATCCACTTCCATGGAATAATTGTTAAAGACAATGCTGATGCTACATATGGACGACCAGTTTATACAATAAATGGTGACTGGCTTTAAAAATACAGATAATTTGTTTAAACAGTAGAAGTACAGAAAACAGGCGATGATACAATTCTAATTTTTGACTGATATATGCAACAAGATCAATAAGATTTATTTCAGAGTGTCCTATGTTACCTCCAATGTGTTAAAGTTGTCCTGATATTACTTAATACTTTTTTTTTTTTTTTTTAGTGGAAACAAAAACAATAAGACATTCAAGCCTAAAAAGAATATACCTGAAGGCACACATCAGCATGACTTGATGAAACATGCTGCTGTTACACTGGGAAGTGGAAACCTTCGTCAAGCTGTCATGTTACCAGAGGGAGAGGATCTCAATGAATGGGTGGCTGTCAACAGTGAGTATCATAAAAGGCACAAAGAAGTTATTTTAGAAACATTTAAATGCCTGTTTATATTTTTGTATACTTTCACCATGAATCACAGATCAAAGCTACTTTGTAATGATATCCATCTTACTGTCTATTTTCAAGATTAGTTTGCACATCCATTTGTTCAATTGAACTCGCTCAAACTTCATTTAGGGCTGTCATTGCAAGATGCTTGCTTATTTCTAGAAGTGAATAGATTTGTACATCAGCTTTTATATGGATTATAAATCATTATGTAAGGTCAACACAAATAAGTCATTATTTCTGTGTTTTAGCCATATACACATAGTATGTGAATTCGATAGATGCATACTAAGTAAATTTGTTTGGATATTATTACGGAAGTATTGAAATTAAATATTGGTGGGTGAATTTTACTTATCCTCATAATGAAATATTGCATTGATATCACACATTACAAAATATGTATTTTGTTTTTCAGCTGTCGATTTTTTCAACCAAATTAATATGTTATATGGGACAATAACAGAATTCTGTACAGAGGAGACTTGTCCGGTCATGTCAGCAGGTCCAAAGTACGAATATCACTGGGCTGATGGTCAGGCTGTCAAAAAGCCAATCAAATGCTCTGCACCAAAATACATAGACTACTTAATGTCTTGGGTACAGGACCAACTGGATGATGAAAGTCTATTCCCCTCCAAAATTGGTAATTTACTATATATACATCAAACACAAACAATCAAGCCCTTTTGTTACAAATTCTTTCCTGATCACCTACATGTTTCTTGATAGCAACTTATTCATTGAAAAGTTCAAACACTGCTGTTAGAAGTATTTTTTTATTTTTCCTGTAAACATACTACAAAGTTTTAAACAGTATTGAATTCTGTGATACTAGTTTTCTGCATTTCTTCTTAACCCTTTCACCCCTAGGTAACTTGAGTAGACACTAACATATATTCATCTGGATGAGTCCATTATGGTCTACAGTGGTGAAAGGATTTAACTATTTTCTGTATACCTGCAGCATTACTCCCAACCCTGTATATCACTTCTTTCATTCCATGTTTTATTCCATATAAAAATATGTTGACTTAATACAGTATTTACTGGAGATGGTGAGAATATTTAATAGTAGTTACACATTTTAATGTGAATTTCCTTATTCTTTCAGGTATTCCATTTCCAAAGAATTTCCTTGCCTGTGCCAAAACAATACTTAAAAGACTTTTCCGAGTGTATGCACACATCTACCACCAACACTTTAAGGAGGTGTGCCAGCTTGGTGAGGAAGCTCATCTCAATACTTCCTTCAAACATTTCATCTTCTTTGTGTACGAGTTCAGTCTCATCGAAAAACGAGAGCTTGCCCCCTTGCAGGAGCTGATCGACAAACTCACAAGCAAAGACAGATAGAGGCTATGACAGGGTATACACTAGTCCAATTATTTCCCACTCTGTCAGAGCTTCTCGGTTGGTGCTTCCAGTGTCATAATCTCACTCACATTGTATGCATGAAGGAGGCAATCCATAAATATATATATATATGCATTGTGTGGGCAACAGCAGCCAACAATATCACAAGTTTGTTGTCCAATGACGTATGAATTAGAAGTCTTTTATTTATTAGTATCTGTTTCTGGTCAAATTCCTCATTGGTATCTCTTTCTGGTTATATAGAGGTTAGATAAGTAATACATGATCATGCAAGGCTGTTGGTATTTGTACCAAAAGCTGGTATCTTTTAGACACACAGTATTTTTATTTGACTTGTCAAGTGTTGATGGGAAACTTTTATGAAGATTTGCTTTGTTGAACTCTTTCAAACTTCAGATGAGGTAGTGTTTGTATTTGTTGGGTGTGTGGACAAGTAGTTTCAATATGGTATCTTCAAACCTGATGCATGTACCTCTACTACTAGGAGTTGTGTATGGGTATGTCAGACCCTGCAAACTTTACATGAGGCATATAGTAAGCTGTACATACACACAGAGAACACCTTTGTACAAGAGTCTTGTATTTGATAACGTTTAAGTAACTACATATATGTATATACTGTTACCATCTCAGTTTCATTGCTGAGTTGTATTGTCAGCAAAATTACTCCTGACAACACACAACACTTCATCAATATACTTGTTTATCATAACACTCTATTTGTAAACAATGATGTAAGACTTCAATATATTTTGTGCCGACGTCTCTGACGGCTGATTATTTTAAGCAATTAAGTGCAATAACACATGATTTAATTTACGCTCTTTGTAGTGATTATTTAATATTGTTATGCAAATGTACAGTCTAACCTATATTGAGAGACCACTGAAAGAAGTCTGTTTTACCATTTCGAGAAAATTCATGGAACTGCTGTGACAAACCATCTTTTTAGTAGCAGTTGATTTCTACTGTTTGTCAAAACAGGTTGTACTGTGGTATTTGTCCAAACTAACATTCAGTTTTGATTCGTAGTAGATGTATCTTGAGGTGTTTGGAGATGTAGATGGTGGTAAAGAGACTGCTCTCTTTCATTGTAAGGAGTTGACATGGTTATATGGTAGTCCATTCTGTCCGTTTCAGTGTTATACTGATGAAAATGTATTTTTTGTTGGATTATGTTAAGGAATCATTGGTATGGTATATACTATGAACTACAAATGCATGTATATATTCTCTACCAAACCTTAAAGGTTTGTGCCATATTATTCGTGAAGTCGAGATGACGTAATATGGTCATAATTTACATATCTAGCCGCAGGTAACTACTTACGCTAGTGAATAAGACACACAACAGTGCTTGGTTTTGTTATTTAATTTGTGTACTTGGGAATTCCTGAAATGTTCTGTACTTGGAATTAAGTTTTTCAGCTGCCAAGTAATATTTATTGTTGTATAATTGACCGTGTGAATAACTGAGAATGAATGCAGATCTGTGTAGATGGTCATAAAGATAAGTTGCTGTTATTAACTATACCTATTTCTCAATTTCTGTCTCTTAGATCAGTTGAACTGGAAAATGTGTTTTAAATGTGTTACTGTTACAATAAACAGCATTGTTTTGCCAATTTGTGTCATAACACATGCATTGTTATTATCATCATAAGTTTTATATATATTATATGAATGTATATGTATATATACATCTGTTTGTAAAAAGATTGCTAAATTTTGCGTGTTATATATGTAAATAATCGTAATGAGACACTTCAGGAATCCGTCTATTTGTTGGCTCCAGCAAAATTGAAAATAATGTGCTATTTCCTTTGGAATCTTCAACAATGTAAACAAATTCAAAAGAATTCTGACTGCAAAACCATGATTACATGTAATATATTTGATAACTTCCTCCTCTTTCTTATATTATTACTACAAAGCTGCATTTTAAAGTATTTTTTCCATTGGTGTAGAATGATTTTCAATATCCATAGGAAAGCTTTAGACCAGTAGCTTGTTTTTTATGAAAAGCGTACAACATTCCATATATCATGCTTACTATTGGCTTTTGCTCCCGGGTAGTAATGTTGGAGAGAGAAAATGTGGACTGATCAAATCTGAAATTTAATCTGTTGGAAGATTGTACATAATTGTGGTATATGAATTTGTAAAACATACATGTACTGTTATTAAGTGTAACAATGGCTGTAGAAAAGGAAGGTACTGAAGTGATTCTCTCGTTGGACTAGGATTTTCTGTCTGCTGTAGTGATTGGCTTGAATTTGCAACTTTGAACTTTTCTTCATTTAGTGTCAATTCTGTCAGTTTTCAATGTGACATACAAGAATGTTACTCAGTTTGTCTGTCTGTCCATTTGAATGATTTCTTAGCAAGTACTCGGTTCAGTGTTTAGGGATTTTTGCCAAATATTTCTTATCAAAATATATTAGGATTTCCCTAATCCATGGATGTTTATTCAAGTTTCATATACCTCTCTGTTCTGATCACCTGTTAAGGGCTTTTTGGGGTTAATTTTGGGAAAGGCTCCTGTTGTCATTTAAGAAGAAAAAAATAATTGACATGTCTGCTTGGTGTGTCAGTAAAAGCAACATGCAACACTGGTTTACCACTTTTATTCATATTCAGTGAGCCAATTTTCTGGCCTTTTTATGATCATATCTTCATAAAATAATATATGACCAAAGAAACTAAAACATTCATCAAATATTATTTCATTTCACATATTGAGTGTTGCTTTGTCATCTGTCAGAATACAAGAGAAAAAATTCATACTCAAATTTTGATGTTAATTGGTGTTAATCTGCATACGACAGAGTAAATATGAGGTCGGTTTAGAAGATAGATTAATTTTGAAAAAAATTGTAAATACTTCTCAAGTCTGATTGGCTGATACATCCTTTCGAATACAATCACTGTTTGGCAGATCAAGAAAGGTCCTGCTGCCTTATCATATTGGCTTTGCCATTGAAAGAAAAATTGTGAAATCATAAAGTAGTGTTCATTTGTTTACTAATCTATTGGTGAAGATTTTCAATCATGATTGTAATAGGAGAGGCAAAAATGCACAGCCAGACCGGGGTTCAAACCTGGGACCTTCTGAACTCTTAGACGGATGCTCTACCAATTGTGCTATCTGGTCGCCAACAACTACCGACCCAGTTCAGTTCCGCTACATTCCTCTCTCCTTTTTCTTACTCTTCGCCCCCGAAGACACAACTTTAACAACCAAGGTTTGGGTATCCCCTTGCTAAGCATACACCAATTGTTTGAAATAAGGGTTGGTCACAGACACTACTGAAACGGGAGAGGAAAAATGCATGACCACTCGGCCAGACCGAGGTTTGAACCCGGGACCTTCCAAACTCTTAAACAGACGTTCTACTAATTGAGCTATCTTGTCCCTAACAATCGACCCAGTCTAGTTTCGCTACAATTGGAACAGTGTATTGGTCCTCCTCCCCCACCCCTCTCCCAAAAAAAAGCATAATAAAACCAACAGGTAGTGCAAGTTGTAGTACACGTATCTGCTTTATTATACTATATCCTTCTGGGCGGTCACCACAAGTGTCGGACAGTGCTACATGATGTATATCTATCTGTAGCAACTTAAGGTTATATGTTAGCCTACTATTATCAGTAAATGCACCTCCTTCACAAAAGATCTCTACATAAGGCAACCTGTAAATTGTGGTTTAGACTTAGGCAGTCAATTAAGGATACATTTGAAAGGAAACATTAATGCTATATATAACACTCCTGAAATACTGCATTCTTGTATAATTCTGGATGGAAATACAGTGTAAAACACATTTTGTATAAGAGAGTTTCTCTAGTTCTTGTTGCCCAAGTATCCCGTTTGCTGGCTAATTCCATAGTATTCGTGTGTATATGTACTTGTATATTTCATTCTTAGATGCCAAATATCTTTAAAATCTGTGTTATGTTACTCAAGCTACTTTAGTAGGAATGTGATGTTTTTAAGTGTTTGTTAATGAGTAAAGCTCGAATCGTTTTATTCTACCCATCCATCAGTGGACTTGTGCCTTCCCTTCAGAAGTGTTTAGGAAATAGATTGGTTATGTAATTCCATTTCAAGTGGTTTATTTTCGGATTGGCTGTCCAATCTTAGACCAACAATTTTATAAGAAACTCATTCAGGGTCTTAAGTAGATAGTTCGGAAATACATCTACTGATCAAATTACTTAAATCATTTTGGTTACATCTTGGCAGAAACGATATACTGTGTCCAGACTAACCACTTACCAGGTTCAACTGTAAACAGATCCCTAAGAATGCAAACTAATGATTTCTACAGTAGTGTAGTCATCCTGAGTGGGTAGACTAAATATCATATTTACTATCTATGGGGGGGAAGGCACAGTGCAGTGTTGGTGTTTTCCTATACTGTATAGAGAGTTGATCTGGTGCATGCTGGATCAAGTGACTGTTGGAGAGAGTCTTTAATCTTTGTCAATTTAACTTCTCACCTGTAGCCTATTACAGTGTGGCATCATATTGTAAACATGTCACACACAGCAAGAGCTGGCCTGTCCGGGTCAAAGCACTTTGTTTGTTTTGCTTGAATGATGTTGGTCCCAATGGAAAGACACAGGAGAGGACAAGGCCTAAATTAATTAGGTATTTTATGAAAATCCATGCAAAGATGTAATAAATGAATTCACAACACTAACAAAGAAGTTTTGTTTCTTAATTTATAGTATCACAAAACCAGCTTGCCACCGTAACTGTTAAAGTGGCTAGCCAAGTTTATTCATAAAAATTGAACCTTGGCTTACTAGATAATAGAGATAACTCTAGCTAGTCGAATTAACTCTGTCTAGCTTTGTATCTTCAATATACAGTGATGATATTTGGCCAGTAGCATGCTATGATGTGGCGCTATAAACTTTCCTTAAATAAATGACCATGACCTACTTTCAAGGTCACCAGCTTCAAATATGTAAAAACCATTAAAGAGCTCTGCCTGAATAGCAAGGAGGCACAGGGTAGTGATAGTTGGCCAGTAATTACCTGGCATGAAGTGCTGTACAATTTTCTGAAATAAATGACCTTGAACTACTTTCAAGGCAACAATGGTCAAATGTTTTATAAAAAATATTTCAACAATTTCTTCTAAATAACCAGGAGGCACAGGGTGATTATATTTGGCCAGTAGGTACCTCATCCTCGATATCCAGGGGTATGCTCACTTACGCTCTCTACACCCCTTGGATATGTCAGCAAAATTGAAGGCAAAAAGATAGCTGTTTGATTGGTCTCGGGTAAAATAACTGACCAATCGCTAGGCTGATGCCTGTCTTTTGAAGATTACAAAGGAGAGACGCCCGACTTCAAAGCCTGTCAATTTTTACCGCGAGATTCTTTTGATGTACATCAAAGGATCGAACTAGTCTTCTTGTCTCATCAACAAGGTGGAGCACACTGAGCCTTCAATTTTGCTATGACTTATTCCTGGCGTGCAAAGAGCGAAAGTGAGCGTAACCTCTGGATGTCGAGGACGTAGGTACCTGGGATATAGTGTTATGGTGTTTCCTCAAATGGATGACATTGACCTCCGTTGAAGGTTACAAGGGTCAAATGTGTTAAAACCTTTGGACAACTTCTCCTGAATAGCTGAGACACACGGTGATGTGGTGCTATAAACTTTCGTCCAATATATAACATTGACCTTCTCTCAAGGTCACATACATCAAATATGTAAAAATCTTAACACAACCAGGAGGCCATGGATTATTATATTTGACCAGTAGTATGCTCGGATAAAATAAGTTTTCTCAAGTAAATGACCTTGACCTACTTTAAAGTCACAAGGATCAAACGCGTAAAAATCTTCGACAACCTCTCCTAATAACAAAGATTGACATCAAAGAAATGATCTTGACCTGTTTGACCAACTTTAGAATGAAAATACTTTGACCAAGATGACTCAACGTAGAATAAACGGAGGGTCTGGCTCCCCGAATTGCAGCTGAACGGGGCTCAATAGAGGTAACCAGTAAAAATCTTTAAATTGCTCCTTTCGGTACGTATTAAGTGGAAATATTTGTTTCAGAATTTCTTTTATTGAGAACATATTCCCATGATTGCTCAAATATCCAGTTGAGCGATACAGGCTCTCACAGTTTCTAATTAAGCTCACCTGGCACAACGTGCCTGTGGTTTGGTTTGGTTTTATTTTGTTTAACGTCCTATTAACACCTAAGGTCATTTAAGGACGTGCCTCCATGTGTGTAGTATATGCATGTTTGCGTGTGTGTATGCAGGAGACAGGGTATGTTGGTGTTCTAGCTTATGGCATGGTGCAGTGTCTGTCAACTTTTTTCTCTGAAGAACTTCTTGAACACTGAAAGTCCTAGCGTCCTGATATGTGACTAGTATGCTGCTAGAGTGGAATGCTATAATGTTTCCTGAAATTATTACCTTGACATAGTTTAAGGTCACTGGGGTCAAATATATTTTGGTTTTCTCATAAATAACCAAAAAGTCAAGGATGATATTTTCGAGTATCGTGCATTAGTTGAAAGTTTAAAAGTTTCTTCAAATGAATAATCTTTAGTAATTACCTACTTTAAAGTTCATAAGGGTCAAATATTTTAAAAACTTCTGAATATTTGGCTTTTAGCATATACTGGGATAGAGCAGCTACATTGACGTGTGATGTTATTTTAATGAAAGTATGTATTGATTACATGTGTATGCACCTATATATGTGTAAGGGTTCGGTGTTTCAAAGTTAAGTTCATAAATAAAACTCAAACTTAAAACCTGTTTCAGATGAACTGCGGGTCTCATTAACATCCATAAATCTCCGTCCATGAAGCGGGCACGGCAACATCCGTCCGTATGTAACACACAGTTACATTGTTTACCAATACTATCTACATTGCCGAAGACAACATCACAACCTTGCGTAACTTAATAATTACAATTTCCTACCGAAAGGGCAAGGTAACTAGGAGAGATCAAAGTACAAAAAGCGAAGGTATATATAAATGTACATAGCATTCGTCTACAGACGCTATGTCGCATATTGCTTATTTGGGGTTCCTTTTACAAGGTCAAAGTAACTATTAAAAGTGAAGGGTCAAACTCGTTTCTTATTGTTGTCACTGTGATTTGGTCAGGTACACTTTCACATGAACGCATGCTTGCATCGTCAATACAAAGAATGGCCCGACACCTTTACAATTTAAAACCCCAAGGTCAATGTCACAAATAGAGGTCAAATGTAAATTGTTTTGTTTCTAATTGACACTATCGTTTATTTTTGTTTGCGTTGAAGCAAAGATATACCATATTTCACCAACGTTTTTTTATTCAGATATATATGAATCTAAGATTTATTTTTGTAGAAACAACGTTTCGAACAACAAAAATAGATAGTGAAAAAGACTTACGGGCGCACTGTCAATCCTATCTCTCTCCTGTTAGCTATGATATGAGTGGATTGTTGACCACTGGTTTGGTGACCCTCTCCGATAACGTATTTTCTCGGACGTTATCATTAAATCAGAGGTCTTATATCTTGCCTTATCCTGCAGTGTAGGTATACTAATGTTCCAGTGATGTAAGTGTGGCCTGCCGACACGCTAGACAACATGGGGTATTGGCTGTCACTGTTGCTCTGTTGCGCTGTCGTGCAACACGTGTTGCCAAAGTACGTCGACCCACAAATCTACATGAGATCGGTATGGACACCTTCTATTGTATCTCTTATTCGTATCATTTTAGGACATTAAGGACTTTGTCACTACACGTAGTTCACAGCTTCTGTGGAAAACTAACATCAGTGTCGGCACCGCTGAGATTCTCAAAATACGAAATGGTATTGGTTTAGGTCTAGTAAGCTTGAATTAAAACAAAGTCAAATAATGCAAATTGTATTAGTGTTAAAGATGCACGCACCGATTTGATCCTAGTTTTCTTAAAATATTTTTTACATGATACTGTCATAATTGTATGAACTACATTCCAACTCTCATCTTGATACAAAAGATGGCAGACTTTCATTGAACTATTTTTGTTGAAGATGTAACCAGAAAAGTTTATTCTTTTATTAAAGTGAGAGCAATCTCATTTTGCGCAAGTTAAATCTTTATATAGATCTGAAAAGAACGTGTTTTTCATATTTACCAACATGTTACGAACAGACAATATCTTTCAACATAAAGAATTTTAAAAGATGAAAGCTGGTGTATTTATCATATATTGATTTTAATGGGAAAGGGAATATATTCCTTCTTTCCATTTTTCCATACAGTTGCCTATTTTTGAGAATCCAAAGACTTTGGTCTTGGTATTGAGTCCGCAGGTTGCTCATGTAAGTGAACAATAATTTGGTAACAGTTACTGAAACTGACCTTCATTAAAGGACAAAAGAACCACTACATGAAAATACTTAAACAATTTTCCTCCCTAAGGGATTGGGTAATGTTACCTCATGCCTTGCGTTGTCCATACTCAAATGGAGCAATATTGTGTCGCTAACAACCGCCTTCTAAACATTTAATGCACTTTCCAGCCGGAAATGATACGGTTCAATGGCTATCCCGTGGAAATCCACAACGTGACGACTAAGGACGGCTTTATCCTGGAGACCCATCGCATTCCACGGGGGCGACGGCCAAACAAACCAGGTACCACTTTCTAACTGAATTTTATTAGGGTTTTTAAAGACATAAAAAGATCATGCTGTTCATTAACGGTAAAAAATATTGAACAAAGAAGAAACCGTTTGTCAAATTGCGTGATAAAGGAATGATGATCTTTTTTGCACATTGCAAGATAAAGGAATCGTGAACTGTTTTGCCCATTGCGAGATATAGCAATCGTGAACTGTTTTGCACATTGCGAGATATAGGAATCGTGAACGGTTTGGCCCATTGCGTGATATAGGAATCGTGAACGGTTTGCCCATTGCGAGATATAGGAATCGTGAACGGTTTGGGCCATTGCAAGATAAAGGAATCGTGAACTGTTTTGCCCATTGCAAGATAAAGGAATCGTGAACTGTTTTGCCCATTGCGAGATATAGCAATCGTGAACTGTTTTGCACATTGCGAGATATAGGAATCGTGAACGGTTTCGGCCATTGCGAGATATAGGAATCGTGAACGGTTTGGGCCATTGCGAGATATAGGAATCGTGAGCTGTTTTGTCCATTGCAAGATAAAGGAATCGTGAACTGTTTTGCCCATTGCGAGATATAGCAATCGTGAACTGTTTTGCACATTGCGAGATATAGGAATCGTGAACGGTTTGGCCCATTGCGTGATATAGGAATCGTGAACGGTTTGCCCATTGCGAGATATAGGAATCGTGAACGGTTTGGGCCATTGCGAGATATAGGAATCGTGAACTTTTTTGCCCATTGCGAGATAAAGGAATCGTGAACTGTTTTGCCCATTGCGAGATATAGGAATCGTGAACTGTTTGGCCCATTGCGAGATACCAATTGACCAGCCTATATATATAGATCCGAGTTATTGGCTTCAATCAGTGTGTCCTATTATACATATTATGGTATTTCATTGCATCCTTTAGAATACGTTGACTTGATACATAAGATTCGCCGATTAACTGAGAGCACTTCGATATTTCCCTAACGTTTACTTTTGTAGTAATCAATAGACCAGTCGTTCTGTTTCAACATGGGCTAAACGCTGGGTCCGACTCGTTCATTGAGAATGGAGCTGATGGTAGCCTTCCTTTCATACTGGCTGACGAAGGAATGGACGTGTGGTTGTCGAACAGTCGCGGGAACGCATACGCCATGAAGAACACACACTTCAACTACACTCAGGACGAGTTCTGGGCATGGAGGTAAAACACTGCGACTTAATTCGTCGTAGGTTTTAACTGGAAACATTGATTTGCTCCCCCATTAAGACCCGTGCATACTTTAATCCGGACTAGCCAAAAAATCGTCATAAGGTAAAACTTCTTTCAGAATTATTTTTTTAATCAATAAAGGTAAATCTAACTTGCTCCGATATGCATTCCATTCGCAGAAGAGTCCCTCACTTATAATTCAGGCTAACGCCGTAAAGGTACAGAATAAAGTGTCTGTCTGTAGTTGGGACGAGATGGCGACTCGTGACCTGCCCGCAGTGGTTGACCATATTCTCGGGATGACCAATGTGTCCCAGCTGTATTATGTTGGACACTCCCAAGGAACCACAACCATGTTCGCCCAGCTCAGCCAGGACCCTGTCTTCGCCAAAAAGATAAAATTGTTCATCGCGTTTGCACCCATTGGGAAGTTAGGACACATCAAGGGTATACTGAAATTGATAGCTGACCTTACACCTAGCGCAGACGTAAGTGTTTGGTACAGTAGTTAATATTGCAATTCATGTATATATATCTATTGGTCATCATGTCGAGGTAATAGGTATCTCACCATACCATTAAATATCGGATCATGTTTCTATAATAAGGCTACTATAATTCTCATTTCTATTACATCGACGCAAGATTTCGTCTTGGCTTGTTTCGCCCTTAGCATTAACGCCACGTTTCTGGTTTATTAGTTTATTTCTGCAATCAGCCATAGCCATATTCCAATGACCGGTTTCTGCCATGTATTCGACCTTATACTCTTAAGTCAGGATAAGTTCATATGGTTCCATTTTTATAGCCGATCTTATAGGCCCAAGACATTGGCAGGTATTCTATTAATTGTCTTCATGACCTTATGAAGAAAACGCGGGAACAACTAATGTCCCTCAACAAAACCTTTTATCGTGTTTTCTATTCATTCCAGATGGCTGCCTCAGAACTTGATTGACATTTCTGACTTTAAAAGTTGTTTTAATAAGCCGGTCATGTTCAACCTTTTAGTAATTACTTATATAAAATGCTCTCTAATGATCATAACGTGTATACCGCTCGACCCAAGATGGCCGCGACGGCCTCCTATTGACTGGGACATATATGGATATATTTTTCTGCTTTATTTGATCGGTTTTGACCAATGGGGACTATTTATTTCAATCTGTTGTGTATAATTGACAGGACATTTACAAGGTATTCGGGCGAAAGTATTTCCTGATGAACTCCTCTGTCGCTACAGACCTGGCTGCCAAGGTGTGTAATGAAGAGCCGGTGACCTTTGTCTGCTCAGTCGCCACCAGTATCACTGGATTCGACATCCAACAGACTAACTGGGTACGTATCATGACCGACAGATGACGAGCGTACTATCTTGGTCCTTAGCAGGACCTAAAAAAAACAGGACAGAATACTGGTGCAAACAGTAAATAATCGACCGTCTTGTTCGTACAGACTACATAATGACAGGATTGTTCATCTACACGTACTTAGCATTGTTGTCAATGTTTTATATAAATTCACCTGATGCAACAAAATGTAATTTCTGCTAGCTTCACACACATGTTTATCATTTTGACCTCTGAAATCAGTCGTACTCAAAGAAAATCAGTAATGGCTATGGTAAATGCTTTATTTTATTGTACTTTACAACAGAATTTGCCAGGTCACAATGTTACTCCACGTGGTATACTGTTTGAAATTATCCAAGATCGCGTAATTTGCTACTTTGGTTTTACTTGTAACCACAATAGTAACTTGGGGAATACCTCGATACTAGCGTAGCGTAGCTTGACCGAAACCTTTTGCACCATTTTAACCAAGGATAGACTCACTTAATCTGATTAATACAGCCGGTAGCATCAACATCAAGATTCAATGCATCTGAGAAACATTTGCACTGTAAAACGTTTCATTATCATTATTTGTAACCTTTTCACATTTACAGATCAAAGTAATCCAATACCTTGAACCAAATATAACTTTGTGTACACAACTGTTCTATGAAGGTTCATCGCTGTATCATTACAGACTAGAGTACCAAGATACCTTGCTCACGCCGCTGAGGGTACCTCTGTCCAGAATATGATCCACTACATTCAGGTGATGATCCGTTAGTAGGAGCCTCTGTCTGGTTATAATTTACATATGAGGGAGGGTACCTCTGTCCAGAATATGATCCACTGCATTCAGGTGATGGTCCGTTAGTAGGAGCCTCTGTCTGGTTATAATTTATATGTAAGTGGGGGTACCTCTGTCCAGAATATGATCCACTACATTCAGGTGATGGTCCCTTAGTAGGAGCCTCTGCCTGGTTATAATTTACATACGAGGGAGGGTACCTCTGTCCAGAATATGATCCACTGCATTCAGGTGATGGTCCGTTAGTAGGAGCCTCTGACTGGTTTTAATTTACATATGAGGGAGGGTACCTCTGTCCAGAATATCATCCACTTCATTCAGGTGATGGTCCGTTAGGAGGAGCCGCTGTCTGGTTATGATTTACATATGAGGGAGGGTACCTCTGTCCAGAATATCATCCACTTCATTCAGGTGATGGTCCGTTAGGAGGAGCCGCTGTCTGGTTATGATTTACATATGAGGGAGGGTACCTCTGTCCAGAATATCATCCACTTCATTCAGGTGATGGTCCGTTAGGAGGAGCCGCTGTCTGGTTATGATTTACATATGAGGGAGGGTACCTCTGTCCAGAATATGATCCACTGCATTCAGGTGATGGTCCGTTAGTAGGATCCTCTGTCTGGTTATAATTTATATGTAAGTGGGGGTACCTCTGTCCAGAATATGATCCACTACATCCAGGTGATGGTCCGTTAGTAGGAGCCTCTGTCTGGTTTTAATTTACATATGAGGGAGGGTACCTCTGTCCAGAATATGATACACTGCATTCAGGTGATGGTCCGTTAGTAGGAGCCTCTGTCTGGTTATAATTTATATATGAGGGAGGGTACCTCTGACCAGAATATCATCCACTTCATTCAGGTGATGGTCCGTTAGGAGGAGCCGCTGTCTGGTTATGATTTACATATGAGGGAGGGTACCTCTGTCCAGAATATCATCCACTTCATTCAGGTGATGGTCCGTTAGGAGGAGCCTCTGTCTGGTTATAACTTATATGTAAGTGGGGGTACCTCTGTCCAGAATATGATCCACTACATTCAGGTGATGATCCGTTAGGAGGAGCCTCTGTCTGGTTATAATTTACATATGAGGGATGGTACCTCTGTCCAGAATATGATCCACTACATTTAGGTGATGGTCCGCTAGTAGGAGCCTCTGTCTGGTTATAATTTATATGTAAGGGGGGGTACCTCTGTCCAGAATATGATCCACTACATCCAGGTGATGGTCCGTTAGTAGGAGCCTCTGTCTGGATATAATTTACATATGAGGGAGGGTACCTCTGTCAAGAATATGATCCACTACATTCAGGTGATGGTCCCTTAGTAGGAGCCTCTGCCTGGTTATAATTTACATACGAGGGAGGGTACCTCTGTCCAGAATATGATCCACTGCATTCAGGTGATGGTCCGTTAGTAGGAGCCTCTGCCTGGTTATAATTTACATACGAGGGAGGGTACCTCTGTCCAGAATATGATCCACTAAATTCAGGTGATGGTCCGTTAGTAGGAGCCTCTGACTGGTTTTAATTTACATATGAGGGAGGGTACCTCTGTCCAGAATATCATCCACTTCATTCAGGTGATGGTCCGTTAGGAGGAGCCGCTGTCTGGTTATGATTTACATATGAGGGAGGGTACCTCTGTCCAGAATATCATCCACTTCATTCAGGTGATGGTCCGTTAGTAGTAGCCTCTGTCTGGTTATAATTTACATTTGAGGGAGGGTACCTCTGTCCAGAATATGATCCCCTAAATTCAGGTGATGGTCCGTTAGTAGGAGCCTCTGTCTGGATATAATTTACATATGAGGGAGGGTACCTCTGTCAAGAATATGATCCACTACATTCAGGTGATGGTCCGTTAGTAGGAGCCTCTGCCTGGTTATAATTTACATACGAGGGAGGGTACCTCTGTCCAGAATATGATCCACTACATTTAGGTGATGGTCCGCTAGTAGGAGCCTCTGTCTGGTTATAATTTATATGTAAGTGGGGGTACCTCTGTCCAGAATATGATCCACTACATTCAGGTGATGATCCGTTAGTAGGAGCTTCTGTCTGGTTATAATTTACATATGAGGGAGGGTACCTCTCTCCAGAATATAATCCACTTCATTCAGGTGATAGTCCGTTAGTAGTAGCCTCTGTCTGGTTATAATTTACATATGAGGGGGGGTACTTCTGTCCAGAATATGATCCACTACATTCAGGTGATGATCCGTTAGTAGGAGCTTCTGTCTGGTTATAATTTACATATGAGGGAGGGTACCTCTCTCCAGAATATGATCTTCTACATTCAGGTGATGGTCCGTTAGTAGGAGCCGCTGTCTTGTTATAATTTATATATGAGGGAGGGTACCTCTGTCCAGAATATGATCCACTACATTCAGGTGATGGTCCGCTATTTTATATGGGAGCATTGTTTATGGTTGATGAATTTAATTTTGCAATTATAAATAACAAGAGTTTCTTTACTCCGTACTGAAATATTACAGTATATGTGCAACGAATTAGAAAGACGATTTATAATTATTTTCTTTATTCTTATTGCAATCGCACCTTTTATTCCCGATACTGGAATGACATTGCTTTAATAACTCTGCATATTGAAAAACAAGGACATGTAACTATATATATAGGCTGACTTCCATTAGTTTAGAAGCACGACAAGTTTTCTTGTTTGTTTTCTCTTCAGGAAGTTAATTCGGACCTTTACCAGAAGTTTGACTACGGTTCCCCAGACAAGAATATGGCGAAATATAATCAGGTACGGTCAAAACACTGTTAATGGACAATCTCTACTTTTGTATGATCCTTTGAGACTACTAATACTCCAACGCGGTGAGAAAATACATATACATCTGTCTAGACAGCCATATATCGTATAGAACGTGCCTATTGTCGGCTTGCCAGGTTACGACTCTATAATTATTCTTTTATTTTGTTTCCGATGCATTTTTGTTTGCTTTCGTGTCTCCTCGATTCCTTGTGTCTTTTCGTATTGGCAATGTTGTTCTTCTGTATTTACGCAACAGTACTTTATGCTTATATTGATTTTACCTATTATTTCCTCGTATAAATTATAAAATATGAATTGAAAACAATGTTCCTTAACTAATATACTTATGTGTACGCATATTACACGTCCTACAGAAGTTTGAGTATATATATATTACACTTTACCTACATGTTTATATAGGCATGTTACACTTTACCTACATGTTTATATAGGCATGTTACACTTTACCTACATGTTTATATAGGCATGTTACACTTTACATACATGTTTATATAGGCATGTTACACTTTACCTACATGTTTATATAGGCATGTTACACTTTACCTACATGTTTATATAGGCATGTTACACTTTACATACATGTTTATATAGGCATGTTACACTTTACCTACATGTTTATATAGGCATGTTACACTTTACCTACATGTTTATATAGGCATGTTACACTTTACATACATGTTTATATAGGCATGTTACACTTTACCTACATGTTTATATAGGCATGTTACACTTTACCTACATGTTTATATAGGCATGTTACACTTTACATACATGTTTATATAGGCATGTTACACTTTACATACATGTTTATATAGGCATGTTACACTTTACCTACATGTTTATATAGGCATGTTACACTTTACATACATGTTTATATAGGTATGTTACACTTTACCTACATGTTTATATAGGTATGTTACACTTTACCTACATGTTTATATAGGTATGTTACACTTTACATACATGTTTATATAGGTATGTTACACTTTACATACATGTTTATATAGGTATGTTATACTTTACATACATGTTTATATAGGTATGTTATACTTTACATACATGTTTGTATAGGCATCTTATACTTTACATACATGTTTATATAGGCATGTTACACTTTACATACATGTTTATATAGGCATGTTATACTTAACCTACATGTTTATATAGGCATGCTCTACTTTACATACATGTTTATATAGGCATGTTACACTTACCTACATGTTTATATAAGCATGTTACACTTTACCTACATGTTTATATAGGCACGTTATACTTTACATACATGTTTATATAGGTATGTTATACTTTACCTACATGTTTATATATGTATGAGACACTTTACATACATGTTTATATAGGTATGTTATACTTTACATACATGTTTGTATAGGCATCTTATACTTAACCTACATGTTTATATAGGCATGTTATACTTTACCTACATGTTTATATAGGTGTGTTACACTTAACCTACATGTTTATATAGGCATGTTATACTAACCTACATGTTTATATAGGCATGTTACCCTTAACCTACATGTTTATATAGGTATGTTATACTAACCTACATGTTTATATAGGCATGTTACACTTTACATACATGTTTATATAGGCATGTTACACTTGACCTACATGTTTATACAGGCATGTTACACTTTACATACATGTTTATATAGGCATGTTACACTTTACCTACATGTTTATATAGGCATCTTATACTTTACATACATGTTTATATAGGTATGTTACACTTTACATACATGTTTATATAGGCATGTTACACTTAACCTACATGTTTATATAGGTATGTTACACTAACCTACATGTTTATATAGGCATGTTACACTTTACATACATGTTTATAGAGGCACATTACTCTTTACCTACATGTTTAGAAAGGCATCTTATACTTTACATACATGTTTATAGAGGCACATTACTCTTTACCTACATGTTTAGAAAGGCATCTTATACTTTACATACATGTTTATAGAGGCACATTACTCTTTACCTACATGTTTAGAAAGGCATCTTATACTTTACATACATGTGTATATAGGTATGTTACACTTTACCTACATGTCTATATAGGCATCTTATACTTTTCATACATGTTTATATAGGTATTTTATACTTTACATACATGTTTATATAGGGATGTTACACTTACCTACATGTTTATATAGGTATGTTATACTTTACATACATGTTTATATAGGCATGTTACCCTTAACCTACATGTTTATATAGGTATGTTACACTTTACATACATGTTTATATAGGCATGTTACACTTTACCTACATGTTTATATAGGTATGTTACACTTACATACATGTTTATATAGGTATGTTACACTTACCTACATGTTTATATAAGCATGTTACACTTTACCTACATGTTTATATAGGTATATTACACTTACCTACATGTTTATATAGGCATGTTATACTTTACATACATGTTTATACGTTAATTTCACGCTAACTACATGGTTGTTTGTACATTTCACATATCTTGCTTGTTTGTGTACATACATGACGCTTTACCTTTATGTTTGTACGCGAATATTATAACTCCCCGCGTGTTGATGAGCGTGCAAATATTATTATAATTTTTTTTAAAGATAGATTGATTTTGACCCTGATCTTATATCTGTTTTCTTTTCAGACTACGCCACCACGCTATGCTATTCAAAATATCAAGACGCCGGTAGCTTTTTATAACGGGAACAAAGATTGGCTGGCCAATCCAACTGATGTCACATATCTCTTGGATAACCTACCAAACATTGTGAAGAAGAGAACATTCCCTAACTGGGACCACGTGGATTTCATCCTAGCTATGGATGCGCCGAAAATATTATATCCGGAAGTGTTACAATTGATCAAAGATACACATGCAATGGAATAAACGTACTTGCAATGTATGTTGTAATAAATTGAATATTTATTTGTTATCGATGGATAAACTAGGTTTGCTTGGGTGCGTTCCTTAATATTACTCATCATATCATGGACCTTTTCGACAATTCCGAATGTCAGAATGCAGGGGTGATTGATGAGCCTATTCAATTGGGTGTTTCACTCTTCCAAATAGCTCATATCGCTTATCACTTACTTATGTTTAATAAATTATTTCAAGAACTCGAAATTTTGTTCATATATCATCTACATATGTACTAATATTCAAACCACTGGTATTGGCGCCTTATAGGAAGAAAGTCAGACATAACGCTATGGTTGTGGCTAAGCATTGGCATAGGTAGTGTTATATTGTCGCATATTTACAAAATTGACATCAGCGGTTTAAGTGGTATATCAATCGAAAAGGAAACACAGGAAAAGAAATGATCGACATCAAATCAAAAGTAAAGCCCTTGTCGTATCATTGATGTACTGTACTTTCAGGATAAACTTGATAACGGGCTGAAATCTCTCGTCAGGAAAGAATATATTCGTTATGAAATAGAATACTTTCACTTCTTTAACAAATGTCGGAACACTCAGTAGTTTCAGATTTTTTTCCCTGAACAGTATTATAAGAAAGACATTACATAGCTTTTTTAACATTGTTGATGGTTCCATGTAGATCAAACAGAGAAAAAATGTATAGGCAGCATTAGTAGAAAGGGTTGGATTCAGGGACAGAAAGTTCAAGAAGGAGTTGTAAAATTATCACCAATAAGACTGAAAACAGCAGGGAAATGAAGCAGAAGCTGGAACAGACAAGGACAAGGGGGCAGAAGACATTTTTTATGAGACTTACAGGAAGAAAAAAAAGTGAGGCCAAGTAGGCAGCTTGAAGAATGACCAGATAGCCTCTTACAATACTAATGATAGGAAAACCGAATATTTCACCCGGCATCTGACAGAGAACAACAACGGTGAAACCTTCTGAAAGATAGAGATGTCTTCTTGAAGGCATGCTAATTATAATTTAAAGTAAATTGAACAAATATCTAGACATCAATATAAGAGTCATCATAAAAACTGAGATTTCCCCCGCCCTTCACTGATTTTAGCAGTGAGTATGTTCTCTTTTAATTCCAGGGACGTGACGACTAGCACGTGTAAAACAGGAAGTTAATTGTTATCATAATATACATTTGTTGGTCAATAGTCTTGATTCAAATACTAATAGTATATGCCCAAAAAGAGCACCACCAAAGAGGGACATTACAACCAAGCCTCTCTACAAGCTAAGATGTTTTAATATACATAAATACAGCTACAGATACAGCGGAAACTATGAAGATTATGCACGCTAATCCATTGTGCACGCTATTGAGAAAGGTTCATTTGAGGGAATCGTATTAGTCAGAACCTTTACTTTGGCTAGTTCTAGTCGATTTCACTGTTAAACTGACGCAACACTTCCGAACTATATATGACAGGAACATTTTATACAAAGCGTTGTTGGATACGACAATACTTGCTATACCCTTGTTGACATATTTAAGTTATCTCGAAGCAATACTTATTTTTATGTGAGTGAGCGTAAAACTTTCAGAACTAAAAGACGTTAAGGATGTAATCCTCTGAGGTTTCAGTCACGTTCAAGTCTCGTTTTGATCTGGTGTAATGTTTTTTTTAATATTTAACAAATTATGATAGGTATAATAGCAAACACACATCTGAAAAACATGTAAAAAAAACTAGATGTCTGTTGCGCCTAGAACATTTTTTACAAGAATTTTTAAAAAATGGCCAATTTGGTGGCCATTTTGAAAAAGTGTTTTTATGTGAATTTCTTGCGCTTCACAAAGGGACAAAATTCTCCTTTTTTGACACTAGATTAATCACTTAAATTGTCATTGTGTCACCATTTTTAATTGTAGCAGGTTCAATTTTGCTGTACAACTTTATAATGTTCAATATGATTAAAATAATATGCAAAAAAGTAGAATGTTATATATTATTGATATTTTTTTTCACATATTAGGGTAACTGAGGCACTTTTGATTTTTGACCCCGAAAAAGGGGAAAAATAACACAATTGATTATGGGACAAAAAAAAGAAGCACACTGACCCCCCATTTTTGTGGCTGTTTTAGAAAGAGAAACACATTTTCTTTTGATTCATTGAATACTAAAAAAAGTTTATGACAGGATTTTTTTATATCAAGCGTTTAATCGGCAAAAAATGGTGAAAAATGTGCATTTTTTCATTACAAAATAAGGGGTAGGGGTAACTAAAATCCCATTTTTGAATAAAATGAATAAGTTTAAGACATTTTACTTCCATAGTTTCAAAGAAAATTTAATTTTTATCAATTCTACAAACATTCATACATATCTGATTACACACTTGGAAGAAATTGTATGAATTTGTTCTGCAAATGGTCAAAACCCGAAAATTCACCTAAAATCACACATTGTGTTAAATTGGTATCTTTGACCGATTATAGCACAAAAACGAATACACCGACATATCTTTTTTTTGCATTTTCTACTTTGCCATGATCTCCTTTTTCCAAAAATCAATATAAGAAAAAAAGTTTGACTTCTTAGAGGTGTACATCCTTAAGTTGGACATAATTGGATCACGATGAGAAGAGCACACATGTCGTTAGATAAGGTGTTCTACATTACCAGTACAGCTATACCTCAAAATCATTCGTCAAATCTAGCGACAACCATCTTGGCAGGGGAGAACCCTACAACAGTTGCTTGTAGTCATGGTGCGTCCCAATCTGTTGTGGTTATTTGTCTTGTTTGCTATGACAACACACATCTACAGCACGCCCAATCCAAGTCGACATGGAATTCGATACGACCCGGAAGTTTATATGAACGCTGTATGTACTTGTATTCTACCTCATTTTAGCTAAAACTAAAATTTCCATTGCAAAACTTGAATGTTAAGCTCCCGTATATCTATTCGTACTGAGCTATTTGTTGTCAGTGTTAATATAGCAGTAAAGAAGTCGACTGGTTTTGGTGGAGTTCTTACTCTGCAAGGTGCGTTTTCAAAAATGAAGTGAAACCGATAGACACATTTTGTAAATATAAACATATTGATATAAGGCTTTATTTGGTCATTTAGCTATAATAACCTAAATTCACTACCAGCGTTAAAAAACATTATCTATGTGTCAGAGAGTATTAGTCTGCATCCAATATTGGTTTTCTTACTTCAGAGCTGTAGTACTAATATCAAACGTGGGTATACTGGTTAGTGTCCCTCGTGGTTTCGTTGTAGCTATCCCGGTTCTCACTTTGAGAGAACCTTTACCTATAAGCTTACCTTTGGTGTCGTCGACAAAGCAGAAGACGCTTACGCTTTCGGAACACCTTGTTTAGTTTTCCTTCAACTTCCTTTGAATTTTTCAACGTTCGCTGTGTACAGCTGTAATGAAATTGTTCACATTTTACCCTTGTTGATATTTCGATACTCTCCAGATGTCCAGCAGCAAGCATGGTACGGGTGTAAGGACTATTCTCTGAAGACATCAGTGTTTATTTTGTAGATTTATTAAATAACGTTTTATTTCAGTATTCACAATTCCAATTCGAATAAAAACATTTAATAATAACAAAAAAAATGTTCTTATCCAAATCCTATGATTTATGAACATTGTCAGTGATATTAATGTTTTTATTAAAATTCATCGGAGGAAACGGGTGTATAGTAGTATGCACAACAGATAAATGCATATACGAATAGAAATAAGAATTAAATATTGTGGTATTTTATCGTTTTATCATGTTAACTTTTCAAAAAACGACATTTCGAAAAATAAAACGATGGTATTAACAAAGAGGCTTATGAAAATTGCCATTCTTTGAGACATTGTATATGCTTAATCAAATATATTTTATAAACACCGATACATTATAGTTGGTATCATTCTAGTTGTCTGTTGTAGAGCCAGCTCCTGACGAGTAAGGGCTACCCGTGTGAGGAACACGAAGTACCGACTGATGACGGCTTTATCCTTGGCCTCCAGAGAATACCCCATGGCAGACTTGAATCACAGAAAGGTAGACATGTTGTATATTCATTCATGTCCGATTTAGGATTCGACATTTTGGTAAAGTAAGCATGAACCTTCATGAGTAGAGTAACAGGGACGTACGATCTGCGTTGATCACATGGTAGTAATGTATGCCCGAATCAGACTCGAGTCACAGTATCGTGGGAAATACACGGATCCCCACATATATGTCACAGCTAATGTACAAAGTAGCCGACATTTCCCGTCTTCCATCACAGTATACAAATCGGAGGCTTGTCGTTTCTGTGCTTGTCCTCAATGTGCAAGACACGGTGACTTTACTGGCCTTTAAAACCATAAATTAACATCCTTTAAGCGCAGTGTACTTCATTAGATGTCGACCGTTGCCTTTCATTCTCTGTGTACAAATGCGCCGTCCTTCACCTCCCTTTATCACAATGCATGTACAACAAGGATGTGAATATGTAATGCTCTTAAATATCAAAATAATGACTTGATCTAATTTTTATTACAGCAGTGTTCTGCTCAAAAGTATACCTGGACTCAGCATGTTCTGTCGACATTTG